GGCTGGGAGCAGCCACTGCACTCCAGTCTGGGCACAGAGTGAGACTCCAACTCAACCAAAAAAAAGATGCATTAATATAAAACTTTAAGATATTTTATGTACTCTCCATTTGTCACAGAAATTACAAAGAAAATACCCATAAAAGAAACAAAATAGGAAACAACAAAGTAATCAAGGCAAGTGACCACAAATAAAACACACACACACATACACACAAAGAAGTCAGTAAGAGAAAAAGAAGGAAAACCTTGCTACAGGAAAACAATTTTAAAATGTCTATAATAGGCCGGGCACAGAGGCTGACACCTATAATGCCAGCACTTCATGAGGCCGAGGTGAGATGATTGCCTAAGCCCATGGGTTTCAGACCAGCCTGGGCAACACGTGCTTCTAGTTCCAACTAATTAGAAAGCTGAGGTGGAAGGATCACCTGAGACCAGCAGGCTGAGGTAATGGTGGCCATGAGAATGCCACTGAACTCCAGCCTGGGTGACAGAGTGAGACTCCAACTCAAAAAAAAAAAAAAAGGCAGTAGTAAATCTTTGGATTTCAATAATGGCTTTAAATATAAATTCAACAAATAACCTAATCACTTAAAATGGATGATGGAGTAACAAAAACAAAGAGCTAACAATGCTCTCTTTTTCAGAGATCTAATTTTAAGGTGTCAAATAGGCCAAGAGAGGATGGAAAAAGATACAGCATGTCCCTAACATACAAATGTGCTTTGTTTCAAGGGTGCATCCAACAAAGGTAGTGTAGGTACCCAACTATCACAATAGATTATGTAGTACTGTACTATAGTAACTTTATAATAGTTTTCATGCCAATAATACATAAAAATAAAGCAAAAAATTTTTAATTGCACAATTTAAAATGCAAAAAAACTGCATCTTTCAAAGTTTGCAACCTAAAAGTTCATATGTAGAAGATTTCCTGTATTCTATGCAAATAATACAAAAGGGGATAGTATTGCAGCATCATCTTATGCAAAACATACAGTAAGTAAAAAACTCAGAAGAAACAAAAAATATTCAGATAATAATATAAAAGGGGCCAGGCTTGGTGGGTCAGCCTGTAATTCAAGCACTTTGGGAGGCCGAGGTGAGTATATTGCTTTAGTCTGCGGGTTTTGGACCAGCCCGGACATCTTTGCAAGACGTTGTTTCTACAATAAATTTTTAAAATTAGTTGTGCCTGGTAGCACACGTCTGTAGTTCTGGCTACTTGTAAGGCTGAGGCGGAAGGATTGCCAGTGCCCAGCAGGTCAATGCTGGGGTGGCTGTGAGTGTGCCATTTTGGGTGAAGTAGTGAAATTCCAATTCAACAGTTTCCTGCAGTGGTGTCTTAAGTGTTACACCATGAGTGCCACACAGAAAACCCGAGGATTCCAGGGTCCATGGAGGCCCACCCTGTGAGGGCCAGATGAGTTCAGTGGAGAAGAAGATCTAATCTGTAGGCATCCACCAACTTAGAGACCCTCTCCAAGGTAGATAGCCTGGCTTTCCCAGTCCACCAACTTGTCATTTGAAAACCATGGGGCAGGCTAGGTGCAGTGGGTCACGGCTATAATCCCAGCACTTTGGGAGGTCGAGGTAAGAGGATGGCCTCAGCCCATGGGTTTGAGACCAGCCTGGGCAACTTGGTGAGATCTCATCTCTACAATAAATCAAAAAATTAGCTGGGTGCGGTGGCACATGCCTATAGTTCAGGTTACTTTTCACAGCAATTGAAATGAGATGTGGGCAATGATTCCTAGGCCACTACATTTCTGAACTTACCAGTAATTAGCTAGAAGGACACTGGTCAATTCAAAATAGAGAATGCTTCATGTCAAAATGAAACATCTTTAATTTTTTCTTTTCCATGTTAACAATTCACCAATGTTTCTTTGATGGCAGGAATCTGAAACTCATTCGCACAAAGCAGAAATTCCCAGAAAACATTCTACAAAGGAAGGACCTTATAGGAAACATGGATTGTGTGTTGAGAGTTTTCTCACCAAGAAAAACCAGGTTTCTGTGGTCCGCTAACATCACAGTTCTATAAAATATTTGCTTGTGGGGGATCCAGGTACTCCCACTCCTCTGGAGAGAATTCTATAGCCACATCCTTGAATGTCAACAGCCCCTGAAAACAACAACAACACATATTTACCAAGTCACCATGACCTCTAGGTAAAGCAAGAGTGAAGAGAACAGGGTCCAGATGACATGAAAACTGGAATTATGCAATAAGGTAATTTGTAACACAGAAATATCCCCTGATGCATTAAGTGTGAGAAAAAAGGATGAAATAAAATACACTCAGTCAGTGGTGACACTCTACTTTTTTGAACGATACAGCATAAAGAGGGACAGCATCACAGGCATGTACATTTTTCGTTGTTATGTTTACATCACACAGAATATGTTGCATATACTGCTCAGATGGAAAACTTCTAGTGAGTTGGAAGGTCCTTTTCAAGTTTTAATGTGTACAGAAATGAATTGAATATCTTGTTAAAATGCAAATTCTGATTCAGAAGACAGGGATTTAGCCTGAGGTTTTGCACTTTTTTTCAGTTGGTGGATCTCATTCTTACCTATGCTAGGGTACGGTGGCATAATCACAGCTTATTGCAGCCTCAATCTCCTGGGCTGAAAGAATGCAACCTCCAGAGCATCCCAAGTAGTTAAGACAAATTGGCATCAGATGCCAAGACACACAGATGCAATGAAACATCCATGCTGAGATCTTTTGGCCAAAAGTTATGCTAATTTATTATTATTTTTTGAGTTGGAGGCTCTCTTGTCACCCAGGATGGAGTGTAGTGGCATGCTCACAGCCACTTCAGCCATGACCTGCTGGGCTTAGGCAACCCTTCCACCTCAGGCTTCCAAGTAGCTAGAACTAAAGGCACATGCAACCATGCCTGGCTAGTTTTTGTAATTTACTGTAGAGACGAGGTCTCACCAAGTTGCCCAAGCTGTTCTAAAAATCCAGCCTCAAGCCGGGCTCGGTGGCTCAGCCTGTCATCCTGCACCTTTGGGAGGC